CGCGCACACGCACCCGCGCACCGCCCCCCGGGTCCCGGGAGAGCCGGGTCTCTTCACGCGCGCCCTTCCGGAGAGCGCGGGCGTCGCGTTGCCTCGCGCCTCAGCGGGCCCCTCCCGCACCCCGTAGTTGCCCCGTCAGACCTCGGCGGAAGGCCGCCGGGTCCGGCCTCACGCACGCGTGGGTCGCCTACACGCTTCCCCGCCAACTGAGTAGCCGGGAGAAGTGACCGAAACGTGTGCGCTCCGCCGAGGGCGCTGCACACGGCGTACACGCGCGCCGGCCTTCCCCGTGGGCTGCTGCGGGCGCGTCTCTGAGCGAGGGTCTCCCACTCACGCGCGCGCGCAGCCTCTCTGAACACGCGTGTCACGTTGCTCTCAGGCACACTCCCAGAGTGCCGGGCGGAGACCCCGCGGGGCTGCTCCCCTCCCGGGGGCGCGGCCAGGGGCCCCGGGCTCCTCCGGCCGGCCAGCTGGCGCGGGGGCGTGGTCTGTGGAGGGGGGGGTGTTGGAGCCCGCGTGGTGTGTGGGGCGCACAATGCGCTTAGTGTTCAGTGAAGTGTGTGCGCGCGTGCATGTGATGTGTATGTGTATCTGCGTGTGTGTGTGTGTGTGTGGTTGAGCGCAGCGTGCGCACGTGGCACGTAGGTGGGCACTAGAGTGTGTGCGTGTGTGTGTGCGCGTGTGCAGTGTGGCGTGGCGAGACAGCCTGGTGTGGAGCGGCGGAGTGTGGTCCAGGTGTGGGCACGGCGCGGGGCCTCGCGTCTGTGTCTTCCAGTGTGACCCGCCAGGCCAGCGGCTGTGACGGGCCCCAGCATGGTGGCCGCCGCCCACCGCGCGGCGGGGTTGCCTTCTTCCCTCCTGGCCCCAAGTTTCTCCACGCCGCTTTTCCACGCCCGGCTGTGCTGCTGGGCTCCGGCCTCAGGCTGGATTCAGTGAAGAGAAAACAAAGCGTTTGCTTCCAGGGAGCACTGTCGGGAATTGGTGTTTCCCTGCAACCCAGCCAGAACCCAGCCTGGAACACAGAAACGCAGGGGACACCCTTTGCTCATCTGCCAAAGCTTTTCCAGAGCGCAGGAAAATGCTTGTAATTACCGCGGTTCGGGGAACAACAAAGCCTTTCAACCCAAATTCTGTACTGGAACATGTTTATGCCCAGGTCCCTTTTCCCGTTGCTGTATTCTTATCCTGCTTTGCACTCACAGGACACTCATCCTGGTTTTAAGAAAACAAATTCATCCTCAAGCCTTGAAAATTCTTGCTGCCATAAGCTATCTTTTCATAATTTTCCCTTTTATTTAACCTTGGTTTGAGAAGGGAAGTGTAATTTGCATATATCTGACTCTAGTGAAATCATCATTTATCAGGGGCTGGGAAGAGATTCAATTTGGTAACAAAGGTATTTTCAAGAAATGTCTTAAGTCACTAACTGTGGTTTCTCACTAACCTAACATTGAAACAGTTGTAAACATGAGGAGTCATCTCTTCACTTTCCTTCGCAGGTGCCACCCTCTCTAAATCCTAAAATGCATCATTGACTCATAAAACCCACACTGTTAAATTCATATTCCAATCCACCTTAGAATAACATAAGCAAAAGGAAGAGAAAAAAATCAAAGGAATTCACGCTGTTATTACTGCACCAAGACAATCAAGAATTTTTTGAACAAAGGGGGATATCCATCTGTTCTACCTTATTTTTCTTTTCCAACCTATAAACTCCCTGTACTATTGTCCATATCCTGCAAGACCTAATAAAAGAATCCCTCCAGGAATACTTCCAACAGCATGCCGCCATTGGCTTTTATTCAACGGTGAACCATGTTATAAGATTCCACTAAATATGAAACATACTATCTTGGCTAGTGAAAAATGAGCAGGAGAAAAATGCAATATAGCATTTTAGTCAAGAGGCAAAGTAAGTCACATGATTTACATCAGTCTCATGATTGGAAGCTAAGGAATCTTTACATTTTCTGTTCCATAAAATCATTCCACCCTTTACCCTAAAGATGTTATTAACTTCTACCATCTTGTGTGGAGCAGGCAGATGTAAATACTATGACCTCATATGTACAGCTTTCAGGATGTGTTGTTAAGATAGAACTGTTTGAGACTTATTATGGAATCTCAACCTATTCAAAGGTAAAGAGAATTATATAACCAACCCTTGTACTCATCACCTGGATTCAATAATGATGAATTTGTTTAGAAAATCTCATTTCATCCATAGCTCTACCCACTCCTCAACCCCCACCCTGCCACTGGATTATTTTGAAGTAAATTCCAAACATAATACAATCTCATTCATAAATATTTCAGAGTGTGTCTCTAAAGGAACTTTTAAAAACCAGAACACCCAATACCAGTGTGGTGGCTAAGCTTAATTGTGTTGATTTGCAGCCGGATTGGTTGTCTGCTTCAATAGCTCACATGGGCTGCAGTGAAGGTGTGTATAAATGTATTCTCATTTATAGGTTCACCTGGGGAAGACTGCTTACAAGCACATTTTCACTGGTTCTTGATCGGATTCAGTTTTGAGGAAACTTTTGGGCTCAGGTTTCAGTTCTCCATGGGCATCCCCACAAGGCAATTCAGAGATGGCAGCTGGCTTTATCAGAGCAATCACGTCTGTAAGAAAAGTCAGGCCTGGGGGTGTACCCCAGCAGTAGAATGCTTACTTAGCATGACTGAGGCCAAGTTTAATCCCCAACACTGCAAGAAGAGTGTCTCATAATGTTTTATAACCTAATGTAGGGTGGGGGTTTCACATCACTTATACTATCTTTTGTTCATTAGAGATAAATTACTAAATCCAGCTATGCACAAGGGAGCAGGTTATCCAGGAATAACAGAAGGCAAGAATCACTGGAAGCCATTTTAGGTGCTACCTGCCACATCACGCTTTAGCCAGTGGGACACTAGCAAACATAGCACTCAGTGGGGTTTGCCCTTCCTTGCTGCGCTTGAAACCCTGAGATTCACTATGTGCACAAGATTGAGCAAGCCTGCTGGAGGATGAAACGACTTGTGGAGAAGAATAAGGCACTTTTATTGATGAATAGCCAGTCCTCAGCCAATGATCTGTCAAATATCATGCTAGACCCACCAGCAAATCACAGAAACACATGGGAGTCCAGAAGAGATCTAGTGAGCCGGTCAGGACCCAAATAACCACCACAAAGAAAGGCAGAATAGTGAGCAACATAAAATGGTTACTGTTTTAAACTGCTGCATTTTAGATTGTTTCTTACATAGCAAAAGCTAACTGATACATCTACCAGTCCTCTCATTTTATTTATTTTTTATTTATTTATTTTTCCAGTACCAGGAATCGAACTCACGACCTTGCACTTGTCAGGCAGGTGCTGTGCCGCTGAGCTAAATCACCAGCCCCACTCCTCTCATTTTAGACAAAGCAACTGAGGACCCAAGAGTCTGTGAGACTTGTTCAACATCCCAGAGCAACAGGCATAGAAGGAAAAACATCTTTTAACATCAGAACAATGCAAATAGTTTAAATCTAAGCTCTGCCTTTTGCTGGCAAATCCTCCTACTTTCAGAGATTCAGTTTCTTTGTGAACAGCAACATAAACCCCAGAAGTTTCTCTAGAACATCTCTTAGCACTCACAGCTATGACTTGTCCAGTTGGTTACAGAGAAAGAGTTAGAATCCTTTCAGTCCCAATGTCACTTGTGAATAGTCAGATATTCTGACATATTGCACTCCATATATTTATTTACTGTTAATATACCTAGGCCCATGAACCCCTCCAAACACTTTGATAAATTGAGTCATTGAAAATCAGTTTTTCATTGCTCAATTGAACCAAGCAACTAATTCCACCATAGTTATAAATAACCTGCTAGTAATTGGTCAATTAGTCATATTAAAACAATTAGAGTGATGAAGTGGATGAAGCAGCTTCCAAATGCGGCACAACTACATTTGAAGGCTTCTTTGAGGAGGGAGGATGCCTCTTCAGCATGGCTGCTGGCATAGTTCAGACTCATCATTCGCTACAGTGTTAAGGAAAGCTCAGCAGTTCTGGCCCAGACAGAGTCGATCAAAGCTTAGCTCCACTACCACCTCACTGAGAAATCTTGGGCCAGTTATTGAGCCTCGCTTCATAAATGGGAATTATAATTCCTACTTCACGTGGTTGCCATGTTCATTAAATATGATAATTATGTGAAGAGCTGGCATGTTGCAGAAGCTCAATAAATATTAGTTCTCCTCTTCATAACAACTGCATATACCCTCCATATCCACAGACTGTCTTTATCCCAACTTTGAACTCTCCAGTCTGTCCTTCGGGGTGCTGTGAAGATGTCTCTATACCACATAAATCTCATCATGTCACACCTAGGCTTAAATCCTTTGATGCGCCTCATTGCTAATTGCACAAAATGCAACTCCTTTAGAGGAGGTTACTCCTGACTTCATCTCTAGCTACACTGCTGTGTGCTTTCAAATAGGTCACCTCCCCGGATTGTTTGTTTCTGGATGTGAACTGTTGTTTTCGGTCAGCCTCTATGCCTTCCTCATTCTGTTCTCTTTGTCCTGAATTACTCAACCCCTAATGCCAATGGGGAATCCTACTTTGCATCAAGTTCTAGCTCAATGCTACCCAAAACCTTTTGCTACTTTAGTCTCTCCTGAATTCTTAAGGACGACCCATGTCTATAAGGTGGTACCTCAAGTAACGAGTCAGTCAGTAATGTGTATTCCCAGTGGCTGGCATTGTACTGGGTGCCCCAGAGACACTCA